GGGGGGTGGTATGGCCTCGGGGCTTGGGGCTCGGTGTCCATGGCCGGATCTACTTGGGGGGGCATGGGTCGCCGGCCGGACCTGTGGGCTCGTCGCTGCAGCTTCCTGGAAGCTCTGCATTGTGGTGGCTGGGGTCACCCGGTTCTTTCCTCTGCTCCTCTCTGGGGGGGTGCGGTTCTCCCTGTTGGGAGACTCCTGGGGCTCCGGGCCTGTGGGCCGCTGTGTGTCTGTGGCTCCGGTCCTCCCTATGTTGCCATTGTGTCCTGGGGGACGGGTCTGTGGGCCCCCGCGTCCACTATTGGGCATTCTTTTGGAGAAATCTGGTGGTGGCAGGCGTGCTTGCGCGGGTGTTTGGATTCAGGTGCTGTGACAGATGCACGCTAGGTTGGGTAGTGGTGGAAGCTAGATGGTTCCTTGTGCAATGTCGAATGTTTCATGGTGATATTGTGGGTGGCGTGCTGTGCATGTTGTTTTGTCGTGGTGGTCTCTCGTCTTATCTATTTCTCTTTTATTATTTAATTATTCTTCTTTCTTCTCTCTTTAAAAAAATAAAATAAAATAAAAATAATAATAAAAAAATAAAAATTGAGCGATGACAATAAGTTCATTGAAACACTTCACAATGTTTCTACACTTAAACTGAGCTCAAAAAAAAAAAAAAAAAAAAAAAAAGATTTGTCAATTGTTGGCTGCTCTGCAATATCCTCCACGTTGAACTCCATATTGTTCAGGAAGTGGAGCACACACTCCTAATAAGACACCAAATCAGAAATATGCACCGTCACAAACACAATAAACACGCGGCTTAGGGAAATTTAAATCCTGCGCTTCAGCTGCTCAACCACACGTTAACACGGCAACCCGACAAAAGACGCTGACACGTGTCCCAAACAGAGGGTGTGATCAAACACGTCACCCAAAATGACACTCTGGAAACAAAATGTCAAGAGCAAAAGTGACAGTACGGGCCTAGAAATATGCCATGAATTAACCAAGCACCCAAACAAGTTACAAAAACACTTCCAGAACCAAACGAGTCCCAATAAGTGTTATTGAAACATCTTTGGATTGAACAAGCCCCCAAATACGTTATAGACCTGATAAGTCTAGGGGAAAGGCAGGACACACAACATATGAAGCCCAGAAGATGTTTCAGTTTTTGACAAAGTTTAATTGTCAGTTAATCCTCTGAACATAAATGAACATAAATGCAGACTGGGAGGACTGGTTAAAACAAACAAAAAAGAGGGAGAAGCCCCGAACCAACCAGCAGTTGGCCGTCGGATTCAGGCCACTCCCTTCGCCCTGTAACCCAGGGACTAACCCTAGAACCAAAAACTGGGAAAACCTAAACTACACAGGTGACCCCCAGTCCCAAAAACAATCAGCTCAACAACAACAACAACAACAACAACAACTGTGACAAGTGCAACAATCAGTGGCCGGAGCTGGAGAACAAGAACCATCAACCATCAGAACAACACCTCCTCTGGCCTCCCTCGCTCATCCAGCAGGCGGAGCTTGGTCCTTTATGTCACCCTCAGCCAATCAGCTGCACAGAGAGAAAGAGCATTAATTAAACACACACATGGACATAACTGACGCAGGGGCACGTCACAGGGTTGGACGGTGTGTGTGTGTGTGTGTGGGGGGGGGGGGTAGGACGCTTGACAGATTCGGAGCTGCATTCACACACAGGCTTGTTAATTGTTGTTGCTTTCTAAAATAGTAATTTCAATTCAATCTTTATTTAAACAGGTTAGTCTCATTGAGCATGGAGGACTCATTTACAAGAAAGACCTGTTTTTAATCAATTTAATTGAATGTTTACAGATGTTTAGCAACCTGTTAAAATACACCCACCAAAATGCAGGAAATGTTATCTCTTTTATTCCAAATTTTCTGGGGGAGGACACCCCCCCCCCCCCCCCGACCACACACACACACACACACACACACACATACACACCAAACTGCCTGCTGTTTGTGTTCTGGCATCTATTGGTTTACAAATTAAGCCCTGCCGAGAGGTGTTACAGGTGTATGACTGCATGTATGCATGATTGATTTTATGATGTATGTATGATTGGGACCCTGTGTGCACAATTTTGTTCGACCACATGTACCACAAGCGATGCAAATGACAAGAAAGAAACCTTGACCTTGCAGAGGATTGACAGTAGGTGTGCTGAGATTATCTGAATGTGAAACAGTAGAAAGAGTTTGAAAGGGGAAAACAATTTTTTTTTTTTGGTTTTGTAAAAGCAAACAATATTTTGACATGTCAAATTAAAAATGTTATTTTATTTTCAAACTCTAATTTAATTTAACTAACCAATGGGACATGGGAACATCATTTTGTTTTTTTATTCTGGACTAGTGCTAAAGCTGAGTTTCACTGAAGACCACCAATTTATTCAAAGTAGTTTAAATGGAATCCTAAGTTTACAGAATAAACTCTTTACCTAACTAAAGGTTTTAAACTAACCAATGATAAACTTGTTGGAAAAATAGTTTCAAGTAACAAAAAGTAAAAAAAAAGTTTTACATTCATTTAATTATGATTTTAAATCTATCGTCCATTTTATCCATGCAGATCATTGTGTTGCTGAACAGAATCCAACATGCTCAGAAATTGTAAGTTTTTATTACTTTTAAACTCAAACATTTTATCTTTCAGTTTTGCTGTTATAGCTCTTCTTTGCTTATATCTATCCCTTCTTCTTTTCTCTCCCAGTAAAAAGGGCCACGGCAAAGGGAAAGTGGGTGGCCGCTGGAAGTAAAAACAGAAGATTAAAATATAGAAACAACCCGATATGAATATGAAGTCATGAGAAGGAAGCATCTGACCAGATGAATCTTTTTCATTACTGTTCTTGTTGCTGCTGATTTGTGAAAAATGGTGTCACTTCATATTGTGTCAATAAACATTACACTCGCACTGTGTGGATGTGTGTTTTTCATAGTTGTATCAATTCAATTCAGTTTATTTATATAGCGCCAAATCACAACAAAGTTGTCTCAGGGCACTTTATTATTTTAATATTCACAAACATAAAAGACAATTAGTAAAGTTCTCTATCTAAGGAATCCAGCAGACAAGATGAATCTTGGCTTCGTTGCAGTCTCTCATCCTGAGCAAGCACAGAGGCAACAGTGGAAAGAAAAAACTCCCTTTTAAAAGGAAGAAACCTCCAGCAGAACCAGGCTCAGGACAAGCGGTCATCTGCTTTTTTTTTCTATAACTGGAGCTGAAGTCACCGAGTTGGTTAAAAAGCTCAGTGACAGCAGGGCTCCAGAGGTGGATGAGATCCACCCTGAGTTCTTCAAGACTCTGGATGTTGCTGGACTATCTTGGTTGACATGCCTTTGCAAGCATGGACATCAGGGCCAGTATCACTGGAGTGGCAGACTGAGGTGGTGGTTTCCCTCCTCAAAAAGTGGGGTCAGATGGTGTGCTTTAACTATAGGGCCATCACTTTCCTTAGACTCAATGGTAAGGTCTATTCAGGGTTACTGGAGAAGAGAGTCCAATCAGTGATTAGATCTCAGATACTTGAAGAACAATGCAGGTTCCATCCTGGCTGTGGAACACTGGACCGGCTCTTTAACCTTACTAGCATCTTCTTTTTAAACCTTTATTTTATCAGGAAAGAAATCCAATGAGATTATTAATCTCTTACAAGGATGTCCTGAGCATTATCTTCAAGGGAGCGTGAGAATTTTCCCAACCAGTTTTCATGTATTTTGTGGACATGGAGAAGGCATCCAACCATGTTCCTCTCTCAACAGGGGGGCTATAGGACGGCCTCTTGAAATATTTGAGATAAATTCCAGTCCCCAAAAATATCAAAAGCATCTGATATAAGAGTGAATACAAGCCTATGTACAGTTAACAGGTGCGCTCAGGATGTGAATAAATTAGGGCTCAGAGAAAGGTGTGTGGCTGCATCGGAATCAGAATAAGCTTTATTATCATTGTACCGGGATACAGTGAAATTATGTTGGTACAGTCGTTCGAAAGATGGGCAGAGTGCACGTTGCTGCTGCTAAACAGCGCAGCCCCTTATTCTTTATCAGAATACTTTTACATTGCTGACATCGTCAGACTAAAATAAAAGTCAGGCTCCTCTGGTGGGTGGATGCTGGTACTACATCTTACAAAAAACACAATTTCAAGTTATCTGGATGCATGCTCAGTAATCCAGGTAGAAAAATCTTAAAAAGTTAAGTTAGGTCCTCTGGACGGATTAAAAAAAAACGGGTGGAAGCCTCCGTGTCCAACTGTCCCCCTCTTATAATGCTGTTACTGGTAGAATCACGCAGCCTTGTGTGAACAGCAAGCGGCCATCAGGGTGCTAATGATCGATTGTTAGGCTGACGGTTCTCCTGTATCATGTGAACAGCTAGTTCTGGAGGTCAACAGCAAACTGGTTGATGCACTCAGACTGACAAAGTCTTTTGGATTAAAGACGAAACATTTCAACATTTTTTTTTTTTTTTTTTTTTTCATGCATCCAGAGGACCTGACCACTTTTTTAAACAATTTCAAGTTGTAAAGATTCTACAAATGGCTAAAACTAATTAGTTTTATATATATATCAAGCTGACACTCTGTGATCATAGTTGAAGGATTCCCACTCACACTTTGAGCACTAACACACAAGATCTTTGTTTGGAACTTTGGCAGTAACGTAGAGCCAACTCTGCCCGTCTGTTAGCAAAACATCTTAACAAGCCCTAGTTGGATCTTAATGAAACGATGAATAATTGGATGCATATCTACCATGTTACTGTTATTCAAAAACACATCAACCATTAATAATAGAATGTTATTTTTGAAGTCCAGCCAAAATGGTTATAACTTCATCATTTCTCATCATGAAATGATCTCACTTTAAAACTCTGGCCTCAAAGCAGCCAATAGTACACACTTTTTCAAGGAATGCTAGGCTTAGTAAAAGTAAGTGCTGCGGGAGAGCTGAATGGAGCAAAGTACAGAAATATTCTCTGTTTAAAAAGAACTGTTTTGTGCAGATGGAGACTTCAGACTGGGTCAAAGGTCTACCTTCCAACATGACAATGACCCAGAGCACGCAGCAGGGACAGTACAATGAGGGCTTGGGGATGACTCTGCATTTCCTTAATCAACTGAGCCATGTCCTAACATAAGCCCTGTCTGTGTGTGTGTGCGTGCGTGTGTGTGTGTGTGTTTGTTTTTCCAGTCAGTGCTCATGCTTTTCCAAGGAAAAGATTTTGCTTATCAGATGAAGAGATAAATGGTGATAAGGACACATAAACAGGAAGACCTTTTAAAATATTTGAGATAAATTCCACTTCCCAAAACAATTAAAAGCATCTGATATAAGAGTGAATACAAACCTTTGTACAGTTAACAGGTGTGAATCTGTTATGGTTCAGAGAAAGGTGTATGGCTGCATTGCTGATATTGTCAGTCTAAAATAAAAGTCTGGCTCGCCCTCTGGTGGATGGATGCTGGTACTACATCAGACAAAAAAACTTTTTCAAATTGTAAAGATTATACAAATGTCTAAAACTAAAATACTTATGTGCTGGTCATAAAATTAGAATATCATGAAAAAGTTTATTTATTTCAGTAATTCCATTCAAAACGTAAAACTTGCATATTATATTCATTCATTACACACAGACTGATATATTTCATCCATCCATTATCTTTACCCGCTTATTCCATTTTGGGTCACGGGGGTCGCTGGTGCCCATGTCCAGCAATCACTGTGCGAGGGGCAGGGGACACCCTGGACGGGTCGCAAGTCCATCACAGGGACAAAGAGAGACAAACGAGACAAACAACCATTCACTCTTTCACTCACACCTAGGGACAATTTAGAGTTACCAATCAGCCTAGCATGCATGTTTTTGGTCTGTGGGAGGAAACCGGAGAACCTGGAGAAAACCCACGCATGCACGGAGAGAACATGCAAACTCCACCCAGAAAGGCCCCTGGACCGGGGTTTGAACCAAGGACCTGTTCGCTGAGAGGCAGCAGCTCTACCAGTTGCGCCACCGTGCTGCCCCTGATATATTTCAAATGTTTATTTATTTTAATGTTGATTATTATAACTGACAACTAATGAAAACCCCAAATTCAGTAGCTCAAAAAATTTGAATATTGCTTAAGACCAATAAACAAAAGGATTTTTAGAAATGTTGGCCAACTGAAAAGTATGAACATGAAAAGTATGAGGATGTGCAGCACTCAATACTTAGTTGGGACTCCTTTTGCCTGGATTACTGCAGCAGTGCAACGTGGCATGAAATAGATCAGTCTGTGGCACTGCTCAGGTGTTATGAGAGCCCAGGTTGTTCTGATAGTGGCCTTCAGCTCTTCTGAATTGTTGGGTTTGGTGTATCTCATCTTCCTCTTCACAATACAACATAGATTTTCTATGGGGTTAAGGTCAGGCGAGTTTGCTGGCCAATTAAGAACAGGGATACCATGGTACTTAAACCAGATACTGGTAGCTTTGGCACTGTGTGCAGGTGCCAAGTCCTGTTGGAAAATGAAATCTGCATCTCCATAAAGTTGGTCAGTAGTAGGAAATATGAAGTGCTCCAAAACTTCCTGGTAGATGCTGTGTTGACCTTGGACCTCAGAAAACACAGTGGACCAACACCAGCAGATGACATGGCACCCCAAACCATCACTGATTGTGGACACTTGACACTGGACCTCAAGCAACATAGATTCTGTGCCTCTCCTCTCTTCCTCCAGACTCTGGGACCTTGATTTCCAAAGGAAATTCAAAATTCACACATCAGTCCTTCAAACTGACTTGTTCAGGACTTCTCAACATATGTTCAGTGAACATAACTTTGGACCACTCAGCAGCAGTCCCAGGTGAGACACATCTGATGCTGTCTCTTGTTCAAGAGGGGCTTGACACAAGGAATGTGGCAGCTGAAACCCATGTCTTGTATATGTCTGTGTGTGGTGGTTCTTAAAGCACCAACTCCAGCTGCAGTTCACTCTTTGTGAATCTCCCCCACATTTTGGAATGGGTTTTGTTTTACCATCCTCTCCAGGATGCGGTTATCCCTGTTGCTTGTACACTTGTTTTCTACCACATATTTTATCTTTACTTCTGTAAAACACTTTGTGGTTTCTGACCTGTAAAAACTCTGCTTGTCTGTTAGCAAAACATCTTAACAAGCCCTAGTTGGATCTTAATGAAACAATGAATAGTTGGATGTTACTGATATTCAAAACAAACCAACCATAGAACATGGATTTGTTATTTTTTTAAAGTCCAACCAAAATGGTTATATCGGTAACTCCATCATTTCTCATCATGAGATGATCTCATTTTAAAACTCTGGCATCAAAGGCAGTCAATGGTACACACTTATTCAAGGAATTATAGGCTTATCTAACAAAGTTTAGTCAGGTCCTCTGGACGGTTTCTTCTTGTTGAAATGTTTCATCATTCATCCAAGACTTCAGTCCGAGGAGCTGCAACAAACTCTGTCTTATAAATAGCACCTTCACATAGAGGGTCAACCAGTTTGATGGTGCTCAGATGGTTTCTGGAGTCCGCCCTCTCCCCCATCAACTCGTTTGCGGCAGTCATGGCCAAAGTGGTTTAAAACATCAAAGTCCATGCTTAATGTTCCAGGTAGAAACTGTAGGGATGGTGCCATCTAGTGGGCCTTCCTCTGTCTGTACTCCCTTGTGTTTCTGCTTTGATTGTCTGATTAACATCACCCATGTCTCATGTCCTGTTTGTGTATAAGTCCATCTGTTAGTCCTGTCATTTGTCGGTTCGTCATTGGGTATCGCCTGTCCTGTCCTGTCCAGTCCAGTCTAGTCTAGTCTAGTCTAGTCTAGTCTAGTCTGAT